AAATGTTCATTACCATTAAATCAGATTATCAAGAAGACTCGTCCATTTTTAACGAAGATTTTTAATAACTTTCTTCGGTGCCTCGGTTTTTAATGCTCTTGATATGGTCTTCTAACTGTTTTGATTCGAGCGCCACTGATAATAAAGACGAAACGCGCGTCTGGTGTACCAAATTATATGCCTAATTAGTTTTTGCAGTGAAACGAGAGGTAATTAGTGATGACACTAAGACACTCCTTCAGTTAAGATTAAAAGGTGGGCCAAATTCCGGTCTCTTCTTCAAAAAATCATAAAATGATGCGGGGCAAGATACCAAAGGGGTAACTTTCTTGTTTTGGACAATGTTTAGGTCTCATTTAACTACTTGGCCACAGGGATCGAATCTGAACCTAGAATTTTCAGTTCAAGGAAAATTAGGTTTGTTTTTTTCAATATCAATGTCAGAAATTATGGACAAATTTAAAATTATACTTCTGCTAGGCTTTATGAAGGCGCAACAAAGGATAAGGTTTTGAACATTATAAATCCTTTAATATACTTTTGATAAATTGATAATTATCAAGTCAAATAAAAATATGGTTATTTTTATGTACTTCGTGTTTACATTATACTTTTGTTTTCTTTATTCCACATCGTCCACGGATATTTCCTATGATAACAAAGTTTGAAACATTAAAAACGTTAGTGAGGACTTCATATTTAAAGCAATTAAGATGATGTTTAGACGTAGAATAGAAAAAAAAAGGCCTGTTTATTGTTGTTTAAAGTTAATGAACAATTTGCCATTTAAATGGAAAATGTTTTTGCTATTTTTAGGGATTCGTTTGAGAAGTGTTTTATAGTGTATATTTTGAAAAAAAAATAGATATATTGCTTTACATAAAACTACCACATTTCACTTTTCGGTGTGATATATTTTCATGTGACATTTCATACACGTAATAAAATAAAAGTAATATACATGTTAAATGGAATTTAAATGTGCAAATACTTAAATCATTGTGTTTTCTTTTGTAATAAAAGGTTTTAGCTGTGTTTATAAATAGAAGTTAGAAAAACCTCAAAATAAATAAAAAAAACGAGAGCATTGAAACCGGGACACCTGAACTTAAGTGAATCAAATCTTGGGTCCGTTGAAAATCGTTCATGTATTGAAAGTATTTATATATATCACATCCTAATACATCTTACGTGCTATCATTGTTGTATTGTGTTTGAAATACACTTGCATAATATATAACAGAAATCTTCAAAGATATTGATCAGTTTAACAGACCACAACAACCATCAACACCAGACTCATCCGAAAATAGTCGCAAAAACATGTCTTCAACATAAATATAAAACCCTGAATTACCATGATAGTCATAATTATGTCTTAATTCCAGTTTAAACAAAAGTCTGCGAAGTCTGAAAAGAAGACGTATTCACTATTAAGGTTTTATATCTACTTTATTCATATGACTGTATTTTCAACAGTGAAGGACATCCTGATGTACATTAAAAAGATGAAAAAACTGTTGAAAGGATTATCCAACTGTACATTAAAAAGATAAAAAAAATGTTGAAAGGATTAAAATAAGAGACAAATAATAGTATAGAGATATTCAAATGTCGTTATCCATTACGAGTGAACAAATAATGTGCAAAAACTCTGTGAATCTCAAGAACTACAAAAGGAAAGGGATCAGGTGCGTTAACATAGTAAGCTTCTCCTTTAATCCATGCATCACCCGCCGTGTGAGAACAGACTCAGTTAAAATGTATAATAGAGAATAGGATACAATCGTAGTAAAGTTCAGACTACCATGCTTGTATCTAAAGATATAAGACCTTGAAAACGTGTCTCTCGTTACACAGGCCCATCGAATCGTTTAACCAATAAGTTTACCAATGTGTTAATAATCTGATTTAACTACATCACATCCTAAAGTGGCGGACAAGAAAAAAAGGTCGAAATGGTCTTTTGTGTTTTTTTTTTTTGGTAGTTCGGTCTAAAAGTGTTACACTTTTCTGATTCTAATATTATTGAAAACATGGGATTTGTGGTCCCACAATATTTATTCTTTGAATAAAACTTTACCCAGTTTTTCGGGTAATTGATTTTTTTTATATTGTGTATATTTTCTAACGATTGTAGGTTAATTTCTGAACATTACATTGAACTGGCTTTATATATCTATAAACACACCCTATAACGGGCTATCAGTACGACAGATAAAATAACCCCTGCGTTGCCATTAAACAATTGTTTTGGTATCGTGTAAATAAGAGTTTTGTGTGATTTTCCAATTGCCATTGATATACAATAAATTTTGCGATCGTGTATTGTAGATTTTGATCTGTCTGACCAATGGCATCTGCATGTACCCTAGCCGTTATGATGATGTGTTGATGTTTTCGCCCAGAGTAGTTATGAAAAGAAAAACTGATGATCTGAGAACGAAAGAAAATCAAATCGCAGGTAACCGTGGTTAAGTCAGTTAAAAGAAAAAAATCTGTATAACATATTTATTGCGTGTCCTTACTTTTGCGTGGGGATTTCTGTTTTTTTATTTATCATTCTGCTTTTTTCCCTTATAATTGATGAATATCACATAACCCCTCTGTGTTAACTGCTTCATTTTTTATATAATATCATGTGAAATTATATGAAAAGTCCACTTTTGTTTGAAATTAAATATCAGATTTCATCTAGACTCAAATACCTTGCATATCAGTGCAGATCAAATTCAAGGACAATAAGGAAGTCAGAACAAACGTTCTAACAAAATTATAGATGTATAGTGCGATAAGATAGAGGAAAATATGTCATTTAACACAGAATGATAATTCCTGATGAAAGATATAAAATTCACTGAATTTGGTGTGATGAAAATACAAGTAAAGTAATGATATGGAAAAAATAGAACATGTCAGCAATGACATGACACAAATAAAATATAGGTTGGCAATCTACACGTTACTTGATTAAGCAGCCCAAACAATTAAAACGGACAAACCAGAGAAAAGGGAAATCAAAATCAGAATATCCTGATTTGTAACAATACACCACCGTATAGCTTGACGATTTTTAAATCGTTACAGTAAATGACAAATAGCAATGAGTTAAGCCAATTACAAATTATTTTTACAGTTTGTTCTTATGTTGTCCTGTTACACCACTGTCTTAGGTTAGGGGAGGGTTGAACGCTCATAAACATGTTTAACCCCGTCACATTATGTATGTGCCTGTCTCAAGTCAGGAGCACAATTCAGTGTTTGTCGTTGGTTCATGTCTGTCACATTTGTTTTTCGTAAATTGTATTATTATGAATTATGAATATAGATTTCTCGTTTGAATTGTTTCACATTTGTTTTATATCGGGGCCTTTTATAGCGGACTATACTGTATGGATTTTTCTCAATGTGGATGGCCGTACGGTTACCTATAATTGCTTATATCCACTTCATTTGAACTCTCATTGGCAACCATACCACATCTTCTTATTTTCATAAGTATTGCTATTTACTTTTGCTTTTCTCAGACGGCATATGGCATCTTTACACTAAATCCGTTAGATATGTAGTGATTGGCATTTGAGTCTGAGAGAATATTGTTTATCTATATATTTGTACTCTTATATCAGCTCTTGTGCTTTTGTCATTTGTTTTATTGTTGTAGTAAATTAGTCTGTTGGTTTTTCTCTTTTGAATTGTTTCACACTTTGTCTTACTGGGACTCTTATATAGATAACTATACGTAAAGTGTTTTGCTTATTGTTGAAGGCCGTAAGGTGACCTGTTATTGTAGATGTTCCGGCCCATATGAGTATTTGGACCATACGCGTATGGTCATGACAATATCCGTATACTCATATGGTCCGACCATATACGCGTATGGTCAGACCATATGAGTATTATACTCGTTTGGTTATTAACGGTCCGGACCATATGAGTATTGAGACCATATAGGTAGTTTTAAAATAAAAAAAAAACCTTTCTTCGTAGGAACACACATCTCATTCTCCGAACCTAAACGGCACACGTTTCTAACTGAATTTCTTTGTTTATTACAAATTGATATTGTCTGAATCTTGGTGCATCTGTTATCTTGCCTTCGCTAGAGTTAAAGCGCATCTATCCTGTCGACTTTTTCGTTCGTAAGTGAAACCACGATGTTTTTTTTTTTCCTTTTTCCTTAGTGTTTAAATTATTATTTTAGAAACACAATTTCTTCTTATTTCTGCTTATTTTTATTTAATTAATGTGTTCTTGCTCTTATTCGTATGATCTTACTGTTATTATAAGATCGTATGAATAGGAACAATTAAGAACACATTAAATAACTAAAACATTTTGAAATATTTAAGATTTTGTTTTTAATAAAAACAAATGTAAACACCAACATAAATTTAGATAAAGAAAAGAAAGAGTGTTCAATGACCAAAGCTCCTGTGAGTTAAGCAATTGTCTTCATTGCTCATTTACAAATGTGGATATTTCTTGGATTTTTTTTCCATAATGAAAAATGAAGTAAAATTCACTTTATCCATTAATCATTGTAACAGTGGTTACCATATGATTGAATTAGTCAAAAATTTCATTTTAAGAATCTCTAATTTATCGGCCACCTTTTCAACGTTCATCATGTAAATTACCCGGACCATATGAGTATATACGCATATGGTCATGGTCCAAATACTCATATGGTCCGGAACATAGACATCTTTGTGCTATGGTTGTCTCATTTGCAATATCATACTACATTTTCTACTAATACAAATTATCACAATTGAGTTGACAGATTACCTTAAACATTTAACAAAATTTAACAAAGAAAATTATATTTCTCTCGCAAATTTTAATTAGATCGCTGTTCCAAAAATTATTATACGTCATATGACATATATATATATAAATAAGCATGGTAAATTCTGAAATTTGACCATACAGTCATTCGTGCATCACACAATGAAAGTTAGTTGTTTGCTACAATTATTTACGCATAAACGAAATGTTTTTGTACCTGTGTTGTATACAATTTCTCGTTGTTGACCTAAATCATACCCGGTATAAATAGTTATACTATAAACTTTACAGCTTTTACAGCGAGGATCGAATTCTTGACAAATAAATTTTACGTTCACCTTAAAGTGAAATTTCTATCAAAATCTTCACAGTTAGATGATAATGATTATCAAGGATTAGGAGAACTCTTAAGTAAAATATAGCACTTATGGACTGGCGAATATTTTACTTCAAAGATATGCAGACCTATTGGTTTGTGTTTATAGTCTCTTTTATGTGTATACAAAACCAAAACTGCTTACCATGCCAATCGGACCAAGACAATTCCGTGAGTATTCAAACATTTATTTGTGTAAAATAGCAAATATTTTAAAAACCCTTTTAGTTACCTAATACTGAATAATGACGCATTTAATTTCATTTCCAATCTTTCTAATTCATGTATAAAACTTGGCATGGAAAATAAAGATAAAGAAAGTAGGAAACAATCCATTTGTTGACTACTTTTGACTATTTATAAAATAAAAAGATTTTTTTTCTCTCTTATTCGGCATTGTTTTGCAAGTAATTTGCTCTTTAACCTGGTTTCAATTCCAGATTTTTTTGTAGGACTATACAGTAAATTGTACCGCTACCATATTCGCAGAAGAAAGTAAGTACGGGTATTCTCTCTTCCGTGTGAGACAAAGGTTAGTGCAGGTAATAGTTGACAAACAAGCATTTCTTTCCTTTCATTTGTTTGTTCTAATATCAATGAATCTTATTTAATTTGTTCCTTCAATTATGCTCAGCACAGATTGACCCATTTTCCATTGTAATCCTCTGTTAAATTTTAATTCGGTGTAACTGTACTGTCACAACACAGCCGAGTATTACAATAGGAAAATTGTTATTGAAGCAATTCAAAAAGTCACGTAGGATACGATTGATTGATTGATTGATTGGTGTTTAACGCCACTTTTAGCACTATTGTGCTATTTCGTGGCGGTCAGTTTTTATTGGTGGAGGAAGCCGGAGTGCCCGGAGAGAACCACCAAACTTCGGTAGGAAAACTGACAATCCTAGTCAATGAAGATTGTAGTCGAACGCACCTGTGTCGCGTGCAGGACTTGAACTCACAACCTCAGTGTTGACAGGCTAGTGATACAGTAGTTCGACTACTTAGACCACTCGGCCACCGGCCTACGTAGGATACGAAAGAAATAACAAAATTGAATTATTTTACCAAGGAAAGGTTTGATTGTTTTCAGTTCCAGTCGTTTGAAGTCTAATATGATCCAAATAATTAAAACTTCGATTTTTTTAGTGGAATGGAAAACCAATTGACATCCTTCTAAAGCTACACAGATTTGTTTATCTAAACTAATGATTATATATTGTTAGACTTATTTATTGTTTTATTGCAGTGCAATCTTGTTCACAGTAGCATTTTATACCCCACTTTCTAATATAAAAAGTATTTTCAAGTTTCGTTTTATTGTACCCTCTAGCGACAGCTGATAGGTGTGCATTAATGGGGTCGGTGAGATTCCTTATTATTTAAATAGTAAATCATGACTCTCCACACACACACATCGTCATCTAAGTTCAGCATTGATTTTTTGATTTCTGTCCCAATTTATATAATGTAGAAATAATATTTAATGTATGCATGCTCTTATATTATGGTAATTACACTATATAGAAGTATCATACGATTCCGTGATTTTGGTTGTCCGAGGCATTCCATAAGTTATATTTTATTTTATGAGAAGAATGCAACATCTGTAACTGCACGTGATTCCCGTCATAACTTGAAAAAAAATGCATGGAAAGACAAACGAAAATCTTGATTAGACTCGTAATCTTAAAAATGTAATTATAAGAATTGAATGCTCCTTTTTGTAATTTGATAGGGTTGTAAAAGCGTTGACGTGCGCTGAACGTGCGCACATTTAAAGCATACAAATGTGCTTTGGTCAACGCTTTGCCACTGATGAGTGTTATGTAGACGAAACGCGTGTCTGGCATAACAAATTATAAGCTTGGTATTTGATGAGTTTTTACAACCACTGGATCGATGCCACTGCTAAGGGCCGTATATCCCCGAAGATATCACCAGCCCAGTTGTCCGCACTTTTGTGTTTACATGAACTATCATTGATATGTTCTTTTTCTGTAAGTTTGCAGTTTATAAAATGTTAGATTACTCGTAAAAACAACCCGCAGGTTTTGATTGCTTTAGCTATGTTGGTCACAAATGTTCGTAATTTTTCGTTTGTAATGATCTTTGACTTCGTATTTGAGTTGGCTTTCCAACTGTTTTGATTCGAGCGTCACTGATGAGTCTTAGATACTAGTACACGAAACGCATGCCTGGTATCTTTGTTGAGTTTTTACAACCACTGGGTCGATGCCACTGCTGGTTGACGTTTCGTCCCCGAGGATACTAGTATTACCAGCCCAGAAGTCCGCACTTTTGTGTTGAGAGATGAAAACAGCACTTAATAAATTTCATGCGTCCGAAGCGCTTTTCTGGATTTACCTTCATTAGGAACGTTCAAAGCCGAATATTTGAAGGTTAAGGCTGTATAAGAACCGAAACAGTTGAAGAGCTGTATGACCAAAAGGACCTAAAAATAATAGCCAAATCCATCTTAGGTCAACTTTGCCTGAGGGATTTGAAACCTTAATTTCTTATTTATTTCGAAATTATTAACGGATAATTAAAGAAAGAATTGTTATAAATCATTTCAGTACCGAAGTGCTGATTACTGAGCTGATGATACCCTCGTGGACTGATAGTCCATCAGCAACGGTATCGAGTATTGTGTTGACATGTAATATCGTTGACATGTTCTTTTTTTTTTTAATTTACTGTTTACAAAAGTTGAATTACTCTAGTCTTAGACATTGATTGCCTTAGCCGTATTTTGCACAATTTTTCGGAATTATCGGTTTTTAATGCTCTTCAACTTCGTATTTGATTTGGCCTCCCAATTGTTTTGCTTACACTACCACTGATGATTATTATGTGGGCGAAACGAGCGTCTGGCGTAACAAATTATAAGCCTGTTATCTTTGGTGGGTTTTATACCCAAATAAAATTACAAAAAGAAACATTTAATTTTATATTGTTAAATATGTTAAAAGTAGAAGATTTCACAAGTCTGCTTGACTTGTGTCTTTTCCAATTTGTAGTTAGGAAAATAAAATATGTTTAAACTACACAAAATTAAATCAATGGGGATGTCCGCCTGCCTGTCCTTCGCAATTTTCTATCTGAAACTCCCACTATACTAGTGAACAGATCTAAAGAAACTTTAAGAAATCTCCAGTTTTTCTAATTCCAATCATAGACTTTGCGTTGTCGTCTGAATGGCCCTATTCACAGCCACCTAACTCAATTACTTTTATATAATTTAATGCCATTGTGATCTGTTTTATTGACCTGATTAAACATGGTTTATTAATTTGATGCAATTGGACTTTGAACAAGAATTCTGTAACGGCGAGTACTCTTAGATCGGTTCCTTGTGTCTTTTGTCTCTTTGGCTATTTTTCCTTCTTTTGTTTTTGATGCTAAAAGGGAGGCGAAAGATACCAAAAGGACATTCAAAAACATAAGTCGAAAAAAGAACTGACAACGCCATGGAGAAAAGAGAAAAAAGACCAAAAAAGCAAACAACAGCACACAAAACACAACATAGAAAACTAAAGACTGAGAAACACGAACCCCACCAAAAACCAGGGGTGATCTCAGGTGCTCTGGAAGGATAAGCAGATCCTGCTCAACATGTGGCAGATCAGATGGATCAAGCCCTTTTCACGGAGTTTTACAATTTGTTCGTTTGGTGTATTGTTACAACACTGTACTGGCTTATTCTTTGTGTGCCTACTCCAAGCCAGGAACCTGTAATCCATGGCAGTAGTTGTCATTGGTTGTTGTCTGTCGTTTCTGTTATTCGTTCATTGTTGTAAAATAAATCTGGGCGATGGTTTTCTCTTTTGAATTGTTTCACATTTTGTCATACCTGGGCCTTTTATAGCTCACTGTGTGATATGGGTTTTGCTTATTGTTGGAGGCCATACGGTAACCTGTATATGTTTACATCTTTGTTCATTGGTCTCTTTTGCAATCATACCACATCTCCTTATTTTTATATTAACCTGAATCTTTCCTAAGTTTCCAAAAAGGCGATGTCCTTTCTGATTTCCATCCATTTATGGAACTCAGTTTCAAAGTGAATGAATAACGGCCACGTGCAAGTTCTGTATTTATATTTTGTGGTGTTTTTGTTTGTTAAATTGTTTCAAATTGTTAGCTTTGTAAGTTTCGAAATTGCTTATAATTTTATTCAAAAATTGAATGATGGCAATCGTGAGTCTCTTTTTAGACTGTAGCGATTCATTTTTGTCTGGACAGTATGGAGATCTTTATGGGCAGTTAAATTGGCCTGCAAAACCAGATGATTTAACGCTGAAACCCATACAATTAGAGTATAGAAATACAAGTTTACTGTATCCTGGATTCTTGGTAGAAATTAAGCCACCTCGATCAGGTAATTCAAAATACTTTGGTTATTTATTGTAGAAAATCCTTGGTTTACCATTACAAATGTATGTTCTATTAACACATGGATATTATTGAAATAAAGTTTTTTTTTTCAAACATGGCAATACCAATACTTATTAATAAAGTCAGATGTTGGGTTTATATCAACCAGACAACAACCTAACAATACAAATAACCAGTAGATCTCTAGCGGTCAATATAAATACCAAATTATCCAAAACATAAAATCATAAATCAGTTAGATATTATATCAATAATTTTGTGTGATATGTAAAAATAAATACTGTTCTGGTGGTAAGAAATTTGATAAGTTGTTTCCTTTTAACATTTTCCAGGTATTATTAAGGATGTTAAAGGATTTCAGTTAAATTATAAAGAAGAAGAGAAAAACGTGAAGAAATGTGCCATTATTATCTTTTCTAATGCCAGTCTAGATCACAACCACAGAGAGGTAAGTGGTTCTATTATTCACATTTGTTTTTTTTTAATAATTACGTTACTGCTCTCATATTGGTTATGTTGTATTTTTTTTTATTTTTCTGTAATATTTTGAGACTATTTTATTCTATGATTACTATTCTGTTGTGAATTGTTACTGTTTTATTTCTATGATTACTATACTGCTGTAATATCAGTGAAAGTGATTTATTTGTATGATTACTACTCGGTGGTGTTTGTTGTTTTATTGGTAATTAATGGAAGTAAACATTTCCCAAAACATATATATTCAATAATGAAAAGTTAATCTCGCTTTTTCCCCCTTATATCATGTCAGTCCTTTTTTAATTTATAATATATCATTTGTCTCCTTGAATAAGAATGTCATGATGTTCCTATACACTGATGTATAACTTAATAATGATAATAATAGAAAGCATACAAAGACTCCAATATCACCAAAACAACCAAGTCTGTTTAGGAGTAGGAGCAAAGATGGATTGAGAATAGTTTGTCTGTGTAGGACTGTTACATTGTAAGCTAGCAAATGAAAAAAAAAAGCCGACTAAGCGTGTCATGTAGCGTACAAAACAGGGCATATTCACATCGCATTAATGTGTTATCGTCTCGAATATGCACATAACATTTGCAGCTGGAAGTTAAGCAGTTATCAATCAATCAAATATCTATTTACTGTTTGTTCTTGAAACCAGATAAGCATGGAAGCGTTTTATGATTATGTTATTTATATTAGCGAATTTGTGGTACGGACGGAAAAAATGGGTTCTTAGAATTATATTTTGAGAAACAAGTTCTATCAAAGTGTTAGTTTTAGTTCTTACGTATATAATAACAAAATGACAAATGATGATGTTCATAACAATTTTTCTTGAAAAACATTTTTTTTTATAACAAATGTCGGCGCCAACAAAAGCCGAGATTAAAAAGTGGGAAGTAATCCTTACCACAATCCATATAGTCCTGTAATTAGCCACTGAAGTTCTATATTAAAAAAATATGAAGCAATGCATACCACAGGCCCAGTAGTCCCGTATTCTCAAAACTGAAGCAATACATACCACAGCCCCTGCAATGCCATATTAATAAACGTGAAGTAATGCATAACACAGCCCCTATAGTCCCATATTGACAAATGTGAAGCAATGCATACCACAGCACTGTAGGTCCATATTAACAAATGTAATTCAAAAGTGGTATAATACTTTTCCCAAATTCAACATAAGTAACTTAATGCTGTTGAAAGTTTATAAACTGGATCATCACTGCAAATTATATATCATGAAAGGAGTTATTTTTTATATTGTAATTACGTCTTGCAGAATAACTTGAAAGTAGTTGTAAAACTCTGGCCTTTGAATGGAGGGAAAAACTTCCTTTTTACAGCATGGAGTTTGCCTAAGCCACCCGAAGACGAATTAGATGAAAAGCAAACAAGATATGGAAAAACTGGAAAATATAAATGGCGTTAGTATTTTGTGTCTTTTTATGATTGCATGTGTTTCCTATAGACAGATCTAAATAAACAGCAACTGTGTCATCGGGAATACCAAATATACCACAAAAGAGTTTAAATCTCATAAGATCTTTTCTCTCAATTTTTTTTTAATTGCGGTGTAAACAATTGTTAGTATTAATACTTGTTATCTTTAGTTTATTGATGGAAACAAGCTTATCAAATATCGACAAGACATTTGCAGTCTAGATAAAGATATATTGTATGTAAATCACTTCAGAATTTAGGAAAAAAATATGCCCACCAAGACATTAGTGGTGAAGTTGTTAAATTTAATTGCGAAGCGATGACCTATTTCTGTATTCAGCATTCAATTCTTCCTAGCATGCATTAAAATATACGTCACTTCTTACTGTGACGATCCAGTAAAAACGTATGTTGTTATAAGGGAAAGTAATAACTAAATTGGAATGAATAAACATTTACTTTTACCTGCACGAAAGAAAACATTTAAATTCAAATTCCGTTTTTTTATTGTGAATATAAACTCTTTGCCCTACACTACACTTATGTTTTACTCCAAAATAAAACAGGTTTGACAGATGCCCCTGCTGATTGGGTTACAACTATATCCTATCATAACGATGTAAAGAACAGATACATACGAATCTGGTTTGTTCATGCACCTGATGAATATTCATTTTCTGAATATATGGTCACATTAGAAATGATAATATCGGGAGAGGATACCAACAAAGAACATCGAGATGTAATTGAAGAACATAGGATTTCAAAAGTAAGAATATTTTTTTTCAAACCAAAGATGATACGGGAAATAATAACCAAATATAAGTATGATTGCAGATGATTCAACAGCACGGTTATCATGCATTGTATTTTTTTTATTTGTATGTTGGACAGTTTATGTTGATTTTGAATTGTTTGTTAGTAAATTTAATTTACTGAAATATTCTATCAGAATTATATTAACAACTAACTTTTGGTCGCTGAAATGTCAATAGATGATCACTTCTAAATGTCACGGTCGTGTGTACAATGTTCGGTACCAAATATATATTGAGTAGCTGGAGACCGTGCTAGGTTCGGGTATCAGATAGATAACGAGTAGCTGGGGACCGTGCTAGGTTCGGGTATCATATAGATAATGAGAAGCTGGGGACCGTGCTAGGTTCTGGTATCATATAGATAATGAGGAGCTAGGCATCGTGCTAGGTTCGGGTATCAGATAAAAATTGAATAGCAGGAGTCGGTACTGGGTTCGGTATCTGACAGATATTAAATACAAGAGTCCGCACTAGGTTCTGTATTAGAAATACACTGAGTATCTGTTATCTGTCTTGTAAACGGTATCATATAGATAGTGAATGGCTATACATCAAATAAGTATATTGTAGTTGTAACAGTGACCTGTAAAAACTAGAGTTCCACATGTACAGTAATTGTTACTTACAGTAAAGACATGCTCAACCTTTAACTTACTGTGTAGAAAAGCATTTAGATGATGACCATTCTTTCCTTCTTTCAGGCAGATTACACATTCTTAAACGTAAAACAAGGAAGATACAGAGTATTTGTAAGTAAAGTGGTAACTTAATTAGAAACATCAATCGAAAAATAAAAGCTCTTTTAAAATAACAAGCTTTATTTCTGAACTCATAGTTCACCAAATAAAACAAAACATATCTTTCAAGACAATAACTAATTTAATATTTTCAAAATTGTATTACTTTTAACTTTTAACACCTTCGTTTCAAAGTTGTTTCACCTAATATAATAACACTTCTGTAATACATTCTTAATTACTAGAAGTTGACTCTTCGGCATAAAATGGTGACGTAAGCTGTCCGTTTTCTGTTAGATGGGTTTACATGGAAGATTCTCTATCCGATTTTCCAAACGATTCAACGTAGTCTCCCAGTAAGGCATGCTGTTCACACAATTGGATTTTCATTCGATTTTCAAACGATTTTTGCAGGTGCTTTAGAAATGAAATTAAAGGGAAATTTCATATCAAATGAATTACTATTATGGATGAAATGAACTCTTTTATTCATTTAACAAGCTTGAATCTATCGGAAGGAACTTTCTTTTGAAAAATCTATTATCAATTTTTGTCTTTTTTCAGATTAATTTCGATAGTTCTGTATTACACTAACAATTCTGTCCAAAAATTTAAGACAAATGAGATTGGTCGTGGCCTAATGCTAATTTTCCTGGAAGGTGATATACGATATAATGGTATATTTTGGTAGATTTTCGAAAATGATTTCGATTATGTAGAAAAGACATGTAGACTGTAAGGTTTCGAAAAGCTTAGCAGAACATAAAACCTTGTAATCATATTTGACTAACTGAGTGTGGATTCGCATGGCAGGTGATGCATGCATAGCAAGAGATGCTTATCCTGTTGAAGCACGCGGCCTCGTTCTTTTTGGAGTTCATGCGTTTGTCTCAGTTAATTTGTTACCCCGATTTGTCACTTTAATCGATTATTGAGATTTGAACATCGTTTGACTACTGTTGCCTACATCTATACATTTCCACAACAGTTTTTTTTTCAAAAATGATATCGCCGCGATATAGCTTTTTTTGTGTGCTGAGGCGGCGGAAAGCAAATACCAATCAATCAATCAATCAAAAAATTAAAACGTTCAACATGATGCATATTTTCTAAAAACTTGTGAAATGTATATACCTCAATTAAAGCTTTTTGAAAAAGAAAACTTTTAAAATAGAATTTAAAAAAACATGGATAATCTTACGGGTTTTAGCAACTGTAATCTTTTTTAAACACCTCAAATTTCAGATACATTTGACTAATTGTAGGAAGATATGTATACGATTTATGTGTTTCCACAATAAAATTTGATGGACGAAACATCATAAAGACGAGAGAAGCAGCAATCTAAAATATCATTGAAAATGATAAAATGAATTTAAAGGGCATTTAACGTTCACCACTTTTTTACGTATAAAATAGAAAAAAAACCATGAATAGTAAAAGTATGTTAATTTCGTTTGACTGAAAGCTCGCGATTGATACAAATATTGACAATTACATATACTAGACAAATTGTTTGATTTAAGGTTCAGGCCTATGATGATAAATGGGACTCGCTGAATGGTTGTAGATGTAAATCAAGTGGAGGAGGATGTTTTCAATGTGTAAAAACAATGACAGCCGTCATAGTCGTACCCAGAAGTACTTATTTACCAAATAATGAAAGATCTACTTGCTTATATTATTCAATCACATTAGCCTTTTCACTAGATGTTTGTTCAACAACAAAAAAAGTTAACAATTCTTCGCTTCAGACGAAGGCATGTACTGAAAATGCTAGAGAGAGAGAGAGAGAGAGAGAGAGAGAGAGAGAGAGAGAGAGAGGGGGGGGGGGGGAGGAGAGATAATTTGATCTGACTGTCCTATTCCTCATTATGAAGTATTAGTTCTAACCATATATTGATAAAATAATGCATTAGAAAATGAAAACAACACTTTATAATTTCATGCGTCCGAAGCTTTTCTGTATTTACCTTCATCGGGAACGCTCAAAGCTGAATATTTGAAAGCCAAGGATGTATAAGATCCGAAACAGTTAAAGAGCTATATGACTAAAATGGACATAAAAATAATAGCCAAATACACCTAAGGTCAACTTTGCCTAATTCAAGTTATATTGTCCAGCAATTTTGCTGAACTGTCTATTTGTAAATGTTTTCAAACGCTATTTTTATATGAAAAACCGTACATTTGAAGCAGACATAACTTTGTTAATTTTATCCCAAATGTATCCTAAATCTAATGATGTTATATTTAGGTGAAGATGTAGTGATGACATCCGAACTACAGTCATCAACAGCAACGAATTCACAATCACAACAGACAGAGGTGGTAACTGACCAAACAGTTAACCATGTTTTACCGAGCATTCTTGGTTTTGTTGCTTTTTTGCTTGTGATAATAATAGTTATTGGTTGTTATCTTCTTCACAGAGATAGAGGTAAGAAAGTGTGTTGTTGTAACCTGCATAGACATAGAGGTAATAACATTTGTTCTTATATTCTTTATAAAGATAGAGGTGATACATTTGTTATATTCGTCATACAGATAGATGTAAGAACATTTGTTGTTGTATTTTTTATAGAGATGGAGGTAAGACCATTTGTTGTGTATTCTTTATTGACAAACAGGTGAGAACATTTGTTGCTATATTCGTCATTCAGATAGAGGTAAGAACATTTGATGTTAATTCTTATTAGAGATAGAGGTAAGAACATTTATTGTTATATTCTTCATAGAGATAGAGGTAAGAACATTTGTTGTTATATTCTTCATAGAGATAGAGGTAAGAAAATTTGTTTGTTATATTCTTCATAGAGATAGAGGTAATAAAATTGAGAATGGAAATGGGGAATATGTCAAAGAGACAACAACCCAACCAAAGAGCAGACAACAGCCGAAGGCCACCAATGGGTCATTTTGTTGTTATATTCTTGATAGAGTTAGAGGTCAGAACATTTGTTGTTATATTCTTCATAGAGATAGAGGTAAGAACATTTGTTGTTATATTCCTCATAGAGATAGAGGTAAGAACATTTATTGTTATATTCTTCATAGAGATAGAGGTAAGAACATTTGTTGTTATATTCTTCATAGAGATAGAGGTAAGAACAGTTGTTGTTATAATCAACATAGAGATAGAAGTGAGTTGTAGTCTTCATATAGATAGAGGTAAGGATGTTTGTTTTTGTGGCCTTTTTCTTATTTTGACATTTTTTGATGATTATATGTTGAAGTTTGAGAAGCAATTTTAAGAGATAGTATTACGAAGATGTACTTGGCAATGATTATTTACCTAAGGAGAAACGTGTTTTTATATTCCGTTAAACATTTCCATGAAGACCCTTGAGTCGTTAGATAATGAGATATAGTACATGTACCGTTATTGCACCAACAGCTTTGGTTGTCTTGTGTTGAGGGCTCCCCTATAGTGCGAAATGTGAGTTTGACCCCCGATTGTAATAAATCAAAGACATTAGCTGCTTGATTATAATTTTCAACAAGGGTATTATTGCGGTTCTCAGAACAATTCTAACACAACTTTGTCAAGTACTTTATACTGTTGCCGCGTATGGAATGTAAAAAGAAAGAGATATGGTTCATTTATTCATAACACAAAACCCTTACACCCAAAGGAATGGAAATATCCATGTAATGCTTTTTATTATATTAATGTTACAGTCTTGAGTGGGCTTTCAGCCCGGAGCAAAAGCTCGCACTTCCCTGGGTTTCTTAATGACGAAGAGTATTTTCAGCTTAGCATTTATACATGTTTTCTTCTGTTTTATTAGATCAACCAAAATATCAACCTGAACTACCTGTGCACACGATAAATCCAAATCCAAATAATTTCTTAACCATAAATGATAGAAACACATCTTCAAAGTATGATGAAACATCTGTAGAATCGGCTTGGACAGTGACCCGTAATGACATTGAATTTGTTCCTCCAACAGAGAATCGAAGTGAGGATCTCAGTCTTAGTAACCTGATGGATCAGGTCCATGACTTTGATAAAAACTTCCTACCTGGTAATGATAACAATGATATATCGAGTCTTGGTTTTTGTCAATGAGCGTTATGATGAATAATCATACGTTGACAGTAATAGACGGTATCCAAAGGTCTGGCTATATTTAGCATTATTACGATATTGAAAGCATTATAAACACAATACCAATGACAACCATGAGACAATATCGTATTCTTGCCAATCTGTGTTCATTTATATATCTTTGCCTTCGCTGTATTATTATTAATATCATCATTATTATTATCATTATGTTATACCAACAAAATAGTGTTTGTCCATTTTTTCCTAAATTGTTATTTCCTTTTATTTGACTGATAATAGTTTGTTCTTTAAGATCTTTCATCTCGTTCTAATCTGAGTTTTTTTTGTACGAAAATCTCCTTCCTTAGTCTTTTAGACTAGTGATAGCATTAAGTGCAGTATAGTTGTTATAATTATATGACAAATTACTAAAGAAAAAATCGTATGACAAAATATCTGTATATAAACAATTCAAATGTCTAATATCTGTTTTGTTTTATATGATTTGATATAGTATGCTTTTATGTTTAGCATTTAATTTTAGTATTTAGTCTTATTTGTATATAAAAACTCACCAAAGATACGTATGTATAAGTAATATTGGTCATGAATAATAGTTTTAACATTGTGGACTTTGTGTGTTATTATAAATTCTAAGTATTACCTGTCGTCGCGATATAGCCATTTTGCGATCGCTCGACGTATGCAATTTGGTTTTTTATATCAGTCAATCAAACAATAAAATAAAAAACGATTATCTTGCAAATGAACACCGATAATATCATAGTGTGTTGATTAGATACGCATTCTCCAATTTTTTGGCATCTACAGAAGATGGAAATAAATTTTCGTCACTTGCGATTTTTCGCGATACATTTCATATAAAACCACTTTCCTTCATAACATTATTGTTGGGTTATTTCTGGTTGGATTTTAATCAACTTGATACCATTAGAAGGAAAATAGTCATATGGTGAATTGTTTATTTGTTTGGAATTTTGTTATGAAACCATTTTTTTACGTCAGGAAGTTTGCTATATATTTCAACTCCAATCAAATCATCAATAATTACCAATATGTTTACATCAGGAGAGAAAAAAAGTAAGACAAAACAATCACTAAATAAACAAATATAATTCAGACATTTCTAGGTTTTTCTCCAACACCTGGTTTAAAAAAAATCCAAACATGTAATATGAATTGTTCTATGTTTACATAGACGTATTTCAAACGAGACAAGTCATAACGTATTTCAAATTTCATTTGTATGTGAATCTATATTTCTTTCCTTCGAGTATAACAAATAATGTTTTATGTAAAACCATGGAAGTATTATATTTACAGGAACTACAACGATTTACTAGCACTTATTTATAACCCGGGGAGCGCTGTAGAAAAGATATGGAAACTGTATAATTAGTACGCTACCGTTAATTTCCTTTTGTGACGATATATCTGCGATGCCGCTTTCATAAATTGACGAAAATGTTCCTGATATAAATAAACACTGTGACGAATCGAGTAATATATATATAGTAAAGAGCCTGGATTAGTCAGGAAAGTAGAAATTTTCAGTTTTATATACGAAAATCAATCGACCAAGGACTGAATAACATAGAAATTATATATAACAAATATAGTAAAAAAAAGAAGCACCTCGTTATTTATATATATGTGCGTTTTAATTTTTTGGCATTTGATTCAAAACTGCTAAAATATTCGTATATGAAAGAATTTTGTCCGATAATATACAGCCGGGGTCAGTACTTCTATTTGTACATTTATGAATATGCTAATCATGACTTATGATTTGACCCGTATTTATCAATTTGAGAAAAAAACGAAGACATACACAATGTTATGGAATGGCTAAACTATCTATAGGAAGTAAACCACTAATTCATGGCCCCATTGCTTTCTATGTTAAATTCCTCAATTTCAAGCAGACACAGCTCTTTTGTTTCAAGTTCAAATAAAGTGACAATCATTGCATGTCAAAGCAACACTTTATGGTGTCTTGTACTGGAAAAATCAACATACCTTTAATGGCATATAAGAAAGAACTGGTTCCCGGAACTTCGGATGTACCAAAACAGGTACTTCAGATCTGACATACAGGCAAAAAGTACCCTCTTTATAAAATTTGGTGCAGTTTTTTTAATATTCAAAATTATAAGTCAAAAAGTGTTCTACAATGACCACCAGTCATTCAGCTTTCATTTGATACCAACAATACCTAAATATTCTACATATTTTGAAAGTTACACTCATGCGTAGGAACTATTTTGTGTTAAATATGTACTACTTTCTGGTATGTGCTTTCTGGCCGGGCCGAATTAGTGGTGTTACACCTATAACAGAACCAAACTTGCTATACTGACTTCAGCATCACTTTATTTCATTCTATGATCTATTTCAAGCAATAAAAAACACATAAAGCTTATGTCCAAATACTATTTTACTAATTTTAAGCTCAAATTAGACTGGTAGTAACATATAGGTTATTCAAAGAAAACTGCCTATGGATATTATAAATGGCCAATATACTTATTTTATTCTCAATATCATTGTTGTATTTAATAATTTCTGTTAGGAAAACAATGTGCTTACCAATAGTCATAATTTACCAGAGTTTGTTCATTTAATAAAAATATATTAGACCAAACCTAAGACATAATTGAGAAAATTGTCCCCCCTTTTTTCTTCAAATTGGAAAAGGGACATTTTTGGTATAAACCATACTTCTGTGGTACAACATAGATTATAAAGAGCAATTTATATATTTTTCAGCTGGATAACTTGCTAAACTGGTTCAAAATTGCATGTACAGTGAGATTTTGGAATTCCTATATGAGTATATACCAATTGCCTAGATTGTAAAAGGCTATCATAAGAAAACCAATAAAACTTGAAAAATCATAGGATTATTTGACCAAGAGCTATTTTTTTACCATAAACAAGTCATTATATACATGTTTTATTGATTGCAATCCCAAATAATGCAAAAATAAGAATTTGGAGTCAAGTCTTAACTGCATGCATGTTGTGTGACCATAAAAGGCTAAAATACCTGATTATGTCAATTTAAGAGCTGAAATTTCCCATAAACAGAATTGTTCATCCAAAAAAGATGATTAAACATGTTTACTTACATCAAATATGACTTATTTTCATTGGAATAGGTACAACTTCTAAAAATTGAATTTCTGACGATTCTCTGTAATAGGAAGTAAACCACTAATTCATGGCCCCATTGCTTTCTATGTTAAATTCCTCAATTTCAAGCAGACACAGCTCTTTTGTTTCAAGTTCAAATAAAGTGACAATCATTGCATGTCAAAGCAACACTTTATGGTGTCTTGTACTGGAAAAATCAACATACCTTTAATGGCATATAAGAAAGAACTGGTTCCCGGAACTTCGGATGTACCAAAACAGGTACTTCAGATCTGACATACAGGCAAAAAGTACCCTCTTTATAAAATTTGGTGCAGTTTTTTTAATATTCAAAATTATAAGTCAAAAAGTGTTCTACAATGACCACCAGTCATTCAGCTTTCATTTGATACCAACAATACCTAAATATTCTACATATTTTGAAAGTTACACTCATGCGTAGGAACTATTTTGTGTTAAATATGTACTACTTTCTGGTATGTGCTTTCTGGCCGGGCCGAATTAGTGGTGTTACACCTATATCCCATTAAACATTTTATCACTTTCTGTCCAAATGATACTAGTAATATCACCATAATTCAACACATCGGGACTCAGCGGAAACATTCTTATACCAACCAATGATCTTACCCTGGATTTAAAGCGAAGCCTTATAATTCTAACATATTTAAAATCTCTTATGATTTTTTTTATTTTAATCAGAACAATCATTTTACAATTGTCTTAAATATGCATGAAATGTATGCCACTGGACGTTAAACAGTAGTTAATCATAACTTGCTATATATACATTATGCAATTTCTACAGAAAAATAAGTCAATAAACATGGTGTATTTATTCAATTAATATGGTACAAATTTCCATCGTCAATGTGTTTTTTCAAGCATTTTTGATAATGTCTCGCACAAATCAATCAGCACACGTAGGCAGATGTAGGGTAACGGAATCTGCCGAGGTTTGCCGATTGCTGTTTCCTTGGAATTAATGACAACTTTCGATTTCTTCGTTTATTTCCTTAATCGCGAAAGCAACCGATAATGAGAATATTAATTTTGTAGGGTGCCACACGCTGATGTGTAAATAAATTAACGTGCCATGTTTCAAGTTAATTGACATGTTATTAATTAAATTGCGCGCGGCATCGCAGATAAAACGTTTGAAGTCGGGTCGTAGTAGTTCCTGTCAATATAATACTTCTATGGTAAAACTAACCAAAGAAGTCGGAGAGAATGCTAATCTTTTGATATCGATGCAAATCATTTTCATTCAAACTGAATACTTTTACGCTTTTCCTTGTATGTTAAATTCTGAATTCGCAGCAAAAGTCACATTAAGAATAAAAGATTAAAACTCGGCCCAATGCAATTTCAGTTTAAGACAAAGATGATTAATGTAAAGAAATAAACAAGAATAAAAGATCAGACTCGACCCAATGCAAGCAATTCAATTTTTGACGAAGACGGGCAATTAAAAAGTCGATAAAAACAGACGACATTATGGGAAAACAAACGACGAAAAGACAAACAAAAGATCCTTTACCACTTCACTGAAAACTGAAGACTGGGGCCACAAACCCCACGACAAAACAGGGATATAACTCAGAAGGGGTTGATGAAAAGTTCCTCATAGTGACACTCATTGTTTTACTCGTGTTTAAATACATTGATAAGTCATATCCAGTGATTAAGCATCGATTTCACAGTTTATAAATCATAGACCATTGATTAGGTAACCATTCTCTAACCCAAAAACTTGACTGCGGTGGAATCACTGTTTTTCAGGACAAAGCATGGTTAAGTAATATCGGATGTTCAGTAAGGGCGAGCATATTTGGATCGGCAGTGGCACCTGTTGTATTTTCTAGTCACGAGTTATCTGGTAAAGACAAAATTACGTTTCTAGAAAAAAAATCAACCATCAGAAAGACACAACCTATAGTAGCTTTTTCATCCCACGATGCCAACATGAATTGCATTCTATTCTGCGGCAACCTTACACGATTGGTTGTTTTGTGTTTAATCATTTCGTATTAAGAAGTCACTACTCATGACACAACCTCTTGAAAAGTAATATAAATATCATTTAAAGTACTGTAAAACAAATAGCTGATAAGACAAAAAATGGGCCTAAGGTATAGCCAAATCAAGACAAGGAACCAGAGCTTAGCATGGGGGAGATATATTTCTTTATTTGAAATGATTTTACAAAAGTGTATAATTTCGAAATCTTTGCGTTTAAAGAACCCTCTGGTGTAAGACATTCCAGGAAATACACTTTTTTATGTTGATGCTGTCCTTATAATCTTTAGCTCATTTGGGATTGATTAATTGGTGTTTAACGCCACTTACATCACTATTGTGCTATTTCGTGGCTGTCAGTTTCTATTGGTGGAGGAAGCCGGAGTGCCGGTAGAGAACCACCGACCTTCGGTAGGAAAACTGACAATCCTAGTCAATTGATATTGGAGTCGAATGTACCTGCCAAGTGCGGGATTTAAACTCACAACCTCAGTGTTGACAGGCTTGTAATACAGTAGTTCGACTATTTAGACCACTAAGCCACCGATGCCTCTACTTTGGATTGAAAAAGGGCGGGTAATCATCTCTACAGCGGGAACTAAAGAATGAGCCCTTTGATGAACTTTATTTTAAACGAATACAAACAAATTCTTGAAGGAATGGCACACAATTAATTCGTAACAGGAATACCTACTGTCTATTGGAAATTTATCTAGAAATCCTATACATTATAGATTAAAAGAAAATCTAATATATTACAAATAGAGTTAGAATATTAAGGCAAATGTCTTGATAGAGCAAAATGACCGTCCTAGAAAATACTGCCAAAGTGACATACAATCAACGGATGTCATTTCTGAATTTTGTTGTCTACATGTTAAGTTTGTTTACTATGGAAAATCACGTGCCTCACCGATGAGAAGCGACATAGTTTCAAATGGTTCAATTTTTTTAATAGATTTGATTCATCACTGGCTATGTAAAATTATAAGTTGGCCAACTTTTATTCAACAACAACATTGCATACCCTGTTTTAAACAATTACTCCACTGACACAGCTATCTCAGTGCAGGTCCACGTTTCATTATAAATTTCACAGTTTTTGGTTATTTTCTTGAAAACTATAATAGATATAGAGAAATTTCAAACAGTAAAAATGACAAGAACATTAAGATCTACAAATGAGTTAACATGAATTTTGAATTCACCCCTTATAGGAGTTATTGCCCTAAGAAGATTAATATTACTCATCTTTTGCAGAAACTATAATAGACGGAGAGAAAAATTGAAACGCAAAAAAGTGTTCAGCAAAAAAAGATTTACAAATAAGTCAACATAAACGAATCGTCAATTAACCACTTATAGGAGTTATTGCCCTTGCAAGATAATTTTTTTTCTCTTTGTGCTGGTTTTTTGCACAAACTATATAAGATAGTGAGTAAACAAGCTAAATGTTCAGCACAATAAGGTCTGCAAATCACTCATCATAGTCGAATCTTTCAACAAACTCCTTATAGAAGTTATTTCCCTGAATGATGATTTTTACCCATTTTTGGGGGCATTTATGTCAAAAACTACTAGATGTAGAGAGAAATTGTAAAAACCACCAAGTTCAGCAAAATGAGATCTGCGAGTAAGTTAACATGGCCAAATTGTCACACTATAGAATGTATTGCCTTTAAACTAATTACAATAAAAGAAAATAAATAAATATCAAAATAGCATTATTTACCAGGTGAGAAATTCCGGCTCTCGTGAGCCTCTTTTATGCATTCTGTTTAATACGAGTAATATAGATATATATATGTAAACGAATTAAGCGCTCACATATGTGTTTCTGATAAATAAACAAATTCATAAGGAGTAGTGCTTCATCGAAATACCAATAGTTAGTTTAAAAACTTTACATCGAATTCAACGCAACTTTATTCATTTCTACATTCAAATAATATCGCTTCTGGTAAATTAAGGCGACAGTAGTTTACCAATGATCAAGTCTCGTAAATCGATTAGAAAGAGACAAATCAAGGTAACAATACAGAAACTGAGGGAATCGCATGAACTCCAAAAGGAGCGAGACAGTGCAAGAACTCATCAAAGATACCCCAGGCTTATCAATTATATCTGATATTGTTTATCTGACAAAGCAAATCAATCATGTCTGTCTAAATTAAAAAACGCATACCTTATACTCAATAGTGATTACTCAAAGTTTTGAGACCATTTTTATATTTCCTATGAAGTAAATTAAAATATACTATGAACTTTGAATTAGATAAAAGGCGAACGTGCGATTTAAAGTCTCAGATAAATCCTTTGGGTTCTAATTATCCCATATGATTCACACGACTGGAAAAAATACTTTGGCTTAGTTTTTCATAAGCCTTATTTAGCTACTAACATGTAACGAACGTAAAAAAGTTTGAAAAATACTAATTTGAACATTTGACAGATCCAGTGATAAACAGTTGTTTTAAGTAGCCTTCTTAATACTTGGCATCCAATAACTGAATGGGAGATCATGACTGTCGTCTACAACACATATGACAAAGAAAGGTAGTAATGACTCAGATGCTTTAACTTTCGATGCACCCTTCTCGTTCCGCTTGCAATTTATTCCTTCAGTGTTTGCGTATTTTTTACCTTTGCATATGTATTAGAAAGGGATTTGCCGGTTTTGAACATCGATAATTTACTATTGCCTCTTTTTGTGATTCATGAAATGAAAAGTACACTTTCTAAATATCGTGCGTCCGACGCACTTTTCAGGACTTACTATCATCGGGAACGCTCAAACACAGAAAAATGATAGTCACGGATGTATCAGTCTCTTCATTCTAGGAATAGTCGTTATTGTGTTTGTATACTCTTTTATGAAGTAGTCAACATACTGTAAATCGAATCAACAGGAGTATCAACGTCACTCTTTTTCTATTTCCGCCAATTGTATGAAAAAGTCCTATGCTGCGTTCATCGTTAACTTACTATATATTATGATACCCTGTGATATAAATGCATTTAAGATGTGAAAATAGTTAAATTTTATTGTAACCCTGTCTTTGCAAAGTTGTTTCTAGGCTAGTTTGTGTTATTTCTGTTGTATTTTATAGATGTTCAATAATAATGTTTTAATACTTTCGATTATCCAAAACTTAGTTCTGAGCGTCTATGACAATAAACGAATGTTCCAAGTATGCATATGGTGCATCAAATTAATATCGTTAATGAAATTTTAAAACGAATGAAAAGTGTTCTCATATACTAAATATATCATAGAGAAAATTGCATATACATTTATATTGTATATAATTATGTATATAAATGTATTTATACTTGACTCAAGCTAGCGAACAATTGTAGCGAACAATTAGTAGGTATAACTAAAAACCATAATTTCACATAAGACGATCACGTATTTTTCGAGCTAGCGAACAATTACAGAGACCTAGCGAACAATTACAGAGACCTAGCGAACAATTACAGAGACCTAGCAAACAATTATGTATATGTATATATATAAGTTTATTTTGGACCAATTTTTAGAGATTGCGACGGGCAACAACTATAAAGGTGATGTAGGGGAGACATTGGTGTATTGTTTAGGAAAAACTCCCGAATGGTTTATGTTTGAAAATCTGTCTCCTCTACAACACCTATTTAGTCGTTGCCCGTCATAATCTCTATAAATTGATCCAAAATTAACTTAAAGTGCCCTACCCCCTAATTTCATTTTGTCTATTTATGTTGTTTAACCCTAACTTCAGATTTTCGAACATAAACAATTCTGGAGTTTTTCCTCAACGATGCGCCAATGTCTCTTCTACAACACCTATATAGTCGTTGCCCGTCACATTCTCTATAAATTCGTCCAAAATTAACTTAAATTGGCCTACCCCTAATTCTATTTATTCAGTTTAAGTTTTTTTACCCTAACCTCAGATTTTTTAACATAAAGCTCTCTGGAGATTTTCCTAAATGATGCCCTTATGTCTCCTCTATAACACCTATTGAGTCGTCGCCCGTCGCAATCTCTATAAATTTCTCCAAAATTATCTTAACGTGCCCTACCCTTAATTTCATTTTGTCAATTTCAGTTTTTTAATCCTAACTTCAGATTTTCAAACATAAATCACTCTGGAGATTTTCCTAAACGATGCATCAATGTCTCCTGTACACCACCTATATAGTCGTTGCACGTCACAATCTCTATCAATTAACTTGAATTGCCCTAACCCCTAATCTCATTTTGTCAATTTCAGTTTTTTAACTCTAATTTCAGATTTTCGAACATAAACCACTCTGAAGTTTTCCTTAAACGTTGCGCCAATGTCTCATCTACAACACCTATATAGTCGTTGCTCGTCACAATCGCTATAAATTGATCCAACATTAATTCAAATTGCACTACCACCTAATTTCATTTTGTCTATTTATGTTTTTTAACCTTAACTTCGGATTTTCGAACATAAACCATCCTAAAGTTTTTCTTCAACGATGCGCCAATGACTCCTCTACAACAACTATATAGTCGTTGGCCGTCGCAATCTCTATAAATTTGTCCAAAATTAACTTAAAAGTGCCCTACCCTTAATTTCATTTGGTCAATTTCAGTTTTTTAATCCTAACTTCAGATTTTCGAACATAAACCACTCTAGATATTTTCCTTAACGATGCGGCAATGTCTCCTCAACAACACATATATAGTCGTTACCCGTCACAATCTCTATAAATCGCACCAAAATTTATGTAACATGACCCACACCCTTTTTTACCCCAAGTCGCATTGTGTCAATGTTTTACTTTATGATCATTGTGATCCAGTTGTCTATTGAATGCCTTATATGGATTTATTAAGTAAAGCTTTCTATTCTTTATATACGAAATATGGTTTCCTTTTTGTTTTAAGTTAATTTTGTCGTTTTTGTTTAAGATTGTATGTATTTTCATAATTTTTCACTAGCTAGAAAAAAACGTGATTGTTTTATGTGATATTGTGGTTTTTAGTTATACTTACTAATTGTTCGCTAGCTAATTGTTCGCTAGCTTGAGTCGGGTATTTATATTTATATATAAACATTCATATGTGTGAATTATTTTTTACTTGAAGCATTGACTTTCACATGTTTAAGGTTCATCGGAAGGAATTGGCTAATATGGCCATGTTAACAACAGACAATTTACTCTGAGTAAAGACAAATATGTGCAGCTAGAAACATTTTGAGTCATGACAGGACCTAGATCAATACAATTTCAATGCATTGTATGTTTCATACAAATAAGAACTTTCCTTGATTTTTTGAATATGTTGTTTTCCATTCCCTCAGAAAGTGCAAAAATATACTAGATTTAGAAAAATGTTTAAGCTGTTCCCCTCATGTGATGATTGTATTGAATTGTATTGGTTGACATGGCATATAGAAGGACGATATACATCTGCACAACAATATGATGATTTTTATAAAATAAGTGAGTGACCGTATCAGAGGACATTCAAGGGATTATTTATTTAACCATCTACTGCAGACTTGTAAAAGGAATCTCATAATCCAACAAAGTTGTTTTTTTCGGAATCACACAATGCATATAACCTTAATTTATATTATTCCTGTCATGTTGGTAAACTTTTTTCCAGATGCACAGGTTTGTCTGTGCTTAGAGTAAATTGTATGGTGTAAACACGACAATATTTGTCAATACCTGCGGAAGGCACGTTCATCATTTTTGTAAAGTGATAGTATTGGTTGGGTTTTATTAACAATAAACAATTGACTGTATATGTATCTGGATTATTTCAGGAGTGTTCTAAAAAAATGTATTCGTCAGTTAGTACAAACTGCATATATCTAGGTAAAATCTATATTCGTAGAGGTCATCGGTGTCATATATGATAGAATACATAAAGTTATTATAAATGGAAATGAAATATGAAACAAATATAACGAGAAAGAATGCAAATAACGCCGAATGAAGTAATAAAGTCATGCATAAGTTAACAAAACCTCCATCTGACAAAATATTTTAATGCGCACAGGTATCAAATTCCGGGTTTTCCTGACATAAATCTACTTTAAGCTCATTTATGCATCAATAATATACCTATTTACTCCTCACTTGATATCAAGAGATACTTACTATTGTGTATGGTAAAGTTTCATATTCTTAAACCCGATAATTGAAAAATATTCGGTTAAGATGTAAATTTAGTAGAAAAACATTAGAAGTTTTTAAAAACGCAATGATATATCATCCTTTGTTTCATTTTGAGCTGCAAGTTTAATTAAAGGTATCAAAATTGTAAATTTTAAATTGAAATTACTTTTAATTCAAATGAAAAAAAAGTCAATGAGATGATGAAGTATAAAATCAAAATTGATTTTTGTGTAAACATTTGATATGATGGGATGAATACATGCCACTCGGAATAATTAGCCTATAACAAAGACATGTGGTACTTCAGTGTATTCTTCTTTTTGTCGTGAATATCATCTAAAAGATGCTTACAGCTGCAATGTGACTCACAACTAGATAACTCAGTAAGTTACAACTCCTTCATATCTATATCTTTCAATTAAGTTTAACTAGCTAGTTGTTTGATTTCGATATAAACTTTTTAATTGGTGTCATGATGGTTGTTTACATTTTTACCTCCATTGGTTGGACAAATTTCAAAATATTCACACTTTAGTTTATCCTGTACTCTTTTTATATTTGATGTTCGTCTTATATCGGTATTTTGTTTGTTTCATGTTCTCTTTTTTTTTTAAGATATGTCGGTTTTATATTAAATGTACGATTTAAATTGGTATTTTATCTTTTTTATTTTAAAGATTTGTCGATTTGTTTACTAGCAGCAAGCAGTTGTCAGAACACACATATATGTATTCAACTTTGCTTCAGTACCAACCAATCAGTTTCGAAAAATAAACCAAAAAAATTAAAATATTCACATATAAAAACAAACGACAACCACTGAATTACAGGCTCCTGACTTGGGACAGGCATAGTGGTGTAACAGTACAACATCAGAACAAACTAAAAAATCAGTTGAAAAGGTATTAACTCATCAGATTGATACAAGCAGAAATACATCTAACAAAAAAAAAAAAAACAGACCGGACGTGGCAGGGTATGTATACATATCCACAACAAAAAGACACTAAGTACAGATCTGAGAGTACATTTCCATATCTACAAATGTATTGTCTCTTCTATTCTGCCTGTTGCTCATAATACGATTTGTGGCTTTAATTTTGTTTCTGTTTTGACACTCATAATTTATTTTAGGTCATCAATGTCCATTGCACGACCATTAGATACGAAAAGGAAAGTAAGTATTTGGTATGTGAAAATAATGTAACATTTTCCCTTTTTATAGAAAAGCTCATTATTTTCAATTTAACATGATGGCTTTCTTATTATTTGCTGTGAAGAACCATAAGAGATAACTGCAATATTTCATTACTGCTGATGTCACGTCATAACAAATCATTTATGTTTTGGCCAGAATGACAGGTGTCAGTTTTTTTTTCTTCAAAAGCATAGTTAATCGAGATCAATATATATATATTCAAAAAGAAATGTTTAATAAATCCAATGCTTATACCACATTTATAGAAGCTTCAATTTTTTATAATGAGAATCAAGGCTCGATAGAAAAAGAATTAAAGAGGTAAAGTTTTATTCCAGAGTATAGAAGTATGACACACAATTATTCTGTTCAGTGACCTTGTTTTGTAATTTTTTCACAGAAATCAGACGTAAAAAATGTACATTTTGTTGGAAATGCGAACGAACTTTATTTAAAAATGCGAAATAACTAAAAGTTTACATAAATATATATATATTGCTTGATTCAGGAAAAGAATCAAAAGCACTTTTAGAACCAATTGTCACTGACACATTTCTACCCCCCGAAAAAAACCAACAAAAAACTAAATTAAATTAAAAAAATAGAAAACCTAACACATTTTAATTGCACTGATCCGTGAATATTATCAGATAATCATTCACAAAACCATCGAACAAATACAGGTTAACGAAAATGAAAAGTAATACAAAATTAGATGATGAT